CCCCGCCCCGCCCGCCGCAGGACTCACCGCGCCCCGCCGCCAAGACAATGACCGGTGCCCGCGAGGCCCGCCCGACCGCACTGCGCCTGCGCGGACGGCGCCAGACTACTCTTCCCAGAAGCCCGCGCGCCGGTGCCTCGGCTCCGGCCTCCCACGGAGCGGAGCCCAATGGACCCGAGCACAGCCGATCCCGAGACCCGACCGCGCCCCTCCATCTCCCAGAGGCCTCCGCGGCACCGCAGCCGTAGGGGTGGGGTTTGTGTGGTAATTGAGAGGGCAGGGGGTAAGGGGGGAGGGGGAGAGGAAGAGGGGAGGGGTAGAGGGAGGAGAAAGGAGAGGGGGAGGAAGAGGGGAAAAGATGGGGAGGGAGGAGGGGTGGGAAGGGGACAGGTGGGAGACGGAGTAGGGAGGGAGTAGAGGTGAGAGGAGGAAGGAAGGGAAAAGAAGGGCGAAGGGAAGGAGAGGAGGGTAGTTTGCAAGGGTAGTTTGCCACCCCAAAATATGCCTCTTTGGGATATGGATTACTTTTGGTTGATTATTTTTAAGAAAGAGGACATTTTTCAGGACGTTTTTCTTTTACCTCCTCTCTAAACTGCCTAAAAGAATTTGGATGAATGGCCCGTAACAGAAATAGAGCCATCCCCAGAGATGTCCACGAAGACTGCAGGCTGAGTGTGGTGGGGGAGACTGGCAGGGCCTACAGAGCAGAGTTCTCTCCATGTCCCAATGTCTTTGCAAGGTGTACAAACACCAGACTTTGGCTTTTCTATCTCCCTGTGAAGTCCCAAACCACTACCCTCAACATCCTTCTTTGTCTTTAGCTGAAGATGGCAGTTAAGGTGGTGACTTTGGCCAATTTGGTGAGTTACTGGGTTTTCCTGGGTCTCTCCCATGTATACCTATTATTAAACTTTGTGATAAATAAATGAAAAGCAATAGGATATATTGGAGTATATGAGGAAGCCATTTGGTATAAAACTAATTCGGCCTGACATTGTTTTTCCAAAAGGGGCTGCAGTGGCCTGTTGAGCATGCATTATACATCTGCTTTAAATATTTACTATGCCCCAAAGACAAGAATGATGCTCCTAAAGCTAGGAATGTAGTTTCCTCCCATATAGGCGTTTCTTTAAGAATAACTGTCTCTTCCTGGAAACTAAGGATTAATTACTGACCTGCTGTGCTCACTTTGTGACCACTGACCCGCTGACCACCGACCTGCTGTGCCAGCTAAGCATCTTGTGACAATTGTAAAAAGGACATTCCTATCATATGTGATGTATGCTCTTTGTTCCAAGACAGTATATAACCACTCTGTACACCCCACTTCTTTAGTGCCCTTCCTTGGGGAAGTAAGGCCCCGGGCTATGTGGTCCTCAGATCTGGCTCATAATAAACTCACCTCAATTTTGATTTATAGATTGATTATGGATTATTTGTATCAACATTTGTTTGATTTCCTACTGTTATTCTGTCTCATGTTAATTTAATTCTTAGACGAGCCAGAAGAACCTAATAGGGTAAAGTAAAATTTCTTCTTCCCCTACAGGAGGAAGAAGACTGTGTGGGAAGAAGGATGAGGAGGAGGAAAGAACCTTAACAAAGAAGAAAAGGGCAGGTGGAGGTAGAACGAGAGGAAGTAGGGTTGGGGGAGGAGGGAGCAGGAAAGAATGGAGAAGGGGGAGGGAAGAGAGACTGCTTACAGAGGAAGGTGGGCAAGGGAGGAGGGAAAATTCCAGAAAAGGAAGGACCGTGGGTGGAGGCAGAGAAAGGAAGTTACAGCACATCTTCTGCAGACATCTTGCAGTTGGGCTAATGGACTGGACTGAGGGATGATCCTGGCCAACTTGCTTGAGCCTCATATCATGCTGATTTGTAGAAAATTTGTAAAGCATACAGAGATGCGAAGAGGCAAATGATCAAAAGAAGAAAAGCAGTATTAACCTTTCTTATTATGAGTTTTCCAGGTGCCACATCCTCTTCTTGGCATTTTATGATTTATGAGCTCATTTCATCCTCACAACCAAGCTGCTTTCCAGATGAGGAAAGTGGTGCAGACAAGAGAGGTCACATAGGAGGAGAGCCCGGGAGCTGGGGTAGGAACCTCCTGGCTGGGTCCTCCTACACCACACACCACAAAGCCAAGTACAAAAGCATTTGCTGAATGTCTGAGTGACCACAAAAATGTAAACAGCAGCTAGCCTTAAGTGGTGATGAATGATTTTTTAAACTAAGTATTTTATTTTGAGATAAATACAAACTCACATGCAGTTGTAAAAAGTACAGAAACTACACAGAGAGATCCCGCATACTCTTTATCTGGTTCCCCCCATGGTGATATCTCGCAATATCACAAACAGGATATGATATGGATATCATCAAGATACATTTTGGTATTTTCAAGATATCATCAAAAGATACATTCTGTCAAGATATGGAACATTTCCATCACCACAGGCACCCTTCATGTTGCCCTTTCATAGCCAAACCCACTTTCCTCCAGACCCCATCCTTCCTTAACCCCTGACTATCACTAATTTGTTCTCCATATCTATAAATTTGTCATTTCAAAAACGTTATAGAGTAGGCATTTTTTTTCATTCAGCATCATAAGTCTCTGGAGATTTATCCAAGTTATTATAAGTATCAATAGTTTGTTACTTTATTGCCCAGTGCTATTCCACGGTATGGATGTACCATAATTTGGATACCACATCTGGATGCTTCCAGTTTGGGGCTATTCGGGGGTTTTTTCCTTTTCTTTCCATTGTGGTAAGAACACTTAACATGCGATCTACCTCTTGACAAATTTTTAAGTGTACAATACAGTATTGTTAACTACAGGCACTATGTTGTACAGCGAATCTCTAGAACTTCGTCATCTTGCATAACTGAAACTTTATACCCATTGAACAATAACACCCCATTTCCCTGTGCCTCCAGCCCCTGACAACCACCATTCTAGTCTTTGCTTCTATGTGCTTGACTAATTTAGATAATTCATATAAATGCAGTGTTTGTCTTTTCGAGTCTGGCTTATTTCACTTAGCACAGTGTTCTCAAGATCCACCCAGGTTGTTGCATATGGCAGGATTTTGTTTTTTAAGGTTGAATCATATTCCATTGTATGTGTCTACGACATTTTCTTTATCCATTCATCTGTCAGTGGACATTTAGGTTGCTTCCACATCTTGGCTATTGTGAATAATGCTGGAACGAACAGTGGAGTGCAAATATCTATTCGGGATCCTGATTTCAATTCTTTTGGATAAATACCCAGAAGTGAGATTGCTGGATCATATAGGATTTCTATTTTTAATTTTCTAGAGGAACCTCCATACTGTTTTCCATAACGGCTGCATCATTTTACATTCCCACCAGCAGTGTACAAGGGTTCCAGTTTCTCCACATCCTTGCCAACACTTTTGTTTTTTTGATGATAGCCATTCTAACAGGTGAGGGGTGATCTCATTGTAGTTTTGATTTGTATCTCTTTGATGACTAGTGATGTTGTGCTCCTTTTCATATACTTGTTGGCCATCTGGTTTGTCTTTGGATAAATGTCTAGTCTATTCAAGTCCTTTGCCCACTTTTTAGTCAGCTTTTTTTTGGCTATTGAATTGAAGGAGTTCCTTACATATTTTGGATATTAACCCCTTATCAGATATTTGGTTTGCAAATATTTCCTCCCATTCCATAGGTTGCCCTTTCACTGTTGTTTCCTTATACAGGTTTTTGTGTGAACATAAATCTTCATTTCTCTGGGATAAATGCCCAGGAGTGCAATTTCTAGATTGTATGGTATTTGCATTTTTAGTATATTTTTTAAACAAACTGCCAAACTGTTTTTCAGAGTGGCTGTACTATTTTACGTTCCTACCAGCAATTAATGAAATATACAGTTTCTCCAAATCCTTGCCAATATTTGATGTTGCCATTATATATATTTTTTTTTATTTTAGCCATTTTGATAAGTGTGTAGTGATATCTCATTGTGTGGTTTTTGTTTTATTAACAGACTTTATTTTTTAGAACAGTTTTAGGCTTACAGAAAAACTGAGCAGACAGTACAGAGAGTTCTTATATAACCCCCTCCCTGCACACAATTTCCCCTATTATTAAACACTTGCATTAGTGTGGCATATTTGTTACAATTAATGAACTGATATTGACACATTGTTACTAACTAAACTCCACAGTTTACATTAAGGTTACTCTTTGTGTTGTACACTTCTATGGGTTTTGGAAAATTCATAATAATATGTATCTACCATTACAGTAGCAAACAGAATAGCTTCACTGCCCTAAAAATGCCCTGTGCTCCATCTGTTCATGCTCCTCCGTCTTCATGAACCCCTAGCAACCACTGATATTTTTTCTGTCGCCATAGTTTTTTCTTTTCCAGAATATCATATAGTTGGAATCAGACACTACATAGCCTTTTCAGACTGGCTTCTTTCACTTAGTATTTAATATGCATTTAAGTTTCCTCCATGTTTGTTTTTTTTCCCCCCAGCTTGATAGCTCATTTCTTTTTATCACTGAATAATAATCTACAGGTACCACAGTCTGTTTATCCATTCACCTATTAAAGGACATCTTGGGGCCGGCCCCATGGCGTAGCGGTTAAGTTCATGTGTTCCGCTTTGGTGGCCTGGGGTTCGCCAGTTCAGATCCTGGGTGCAGACCTACTCTCCTCTCATCAAGCCGTGCTGAGGTGGCGTCCCACATAGAAGAACTAAAAGGACTTGCAACTAGGATATACAACTATGTACTGGGGCTTTGGGGAGAAAAAAAAGAAAAAGAAGAAGATTGGCAACAGATGTGACCTCAGGGCCAATCTTCCTCAAAAAAAATAAAAAAGAATAAAGGACATCTTGGTTGCCTCCATAATACTGCTATAAAGATCTGTGTGCAGCTTTCTGTGTGGACGTAAGTTTTCAACTCATTTGAGTAAATACCTAGGAGCATGACTGCTGGATGGTAAGACTGTGCTTAGCCTTGTAAGAAACTGGCACATTGTCTTGCAAAGTGCGTTCCCCCCAGCAATGGATGAGCGCTCCCCTTGCTCCACATCCTCACCAGCACTT